AGCTTTCTCTGGTTACAGGTATGTAGATGGTTTGGTCAGCGTGGGTCTAGCGAGCAGGCTATAAATGGGGTCCACTTTGTGGCATGTTTTCCTTCTGGCCTGCAGCCTTTTCCTCAAAGCAGTGTGGAAATAGTGCTTAGGTGGCCCAGGCTGCTGAACCATTTCAGTGGTTCCTCTTCTGCACAGCCATCTGATTTGGGCCATGTGCATCTGCGGGGGGTAGAGGGGAGTCAGGCAGAAATATACCCGTGAGTATGTTATAGGATCTAGGCTGCCTTATCAGTAGCACGGATCTAGGAAATATCAGAAAACTGGGGTCTGTTATGTTATGGCACTGCCTGGATTTACATCCTGCTTGATTTAATATTACATATTTCTCTTCATGCTGCAACACTAGAAGTCATTAGAATTTTGATAAGTATCTGGTTTTAAGCATTTTTTTGGTAAGAGACTGGGTTTTCTTGGTGTAAATCCTCAGCACTTGAGCCAAAGTGGGTGTTGCTGAAGTCCAGAGACTTAGAGGAGCTTTGCTTTCTCCTGCAACCTGTTTAGGCATTGGAACGCAGAGTTTTCTGGTTGGCTAAATAGATACTTAGCCAAATATTCAATGTTGTCTGCCTGTCTCTTGCTAAAGGTGTATATGCAGGGGGTTGAACTAGGTGACCTTTAAAGGTCCCTTCCAACCCAGACTATTCTATGATTATGCAATAAAGCTGTTCTTTCTACAATTTTCCTTATCTCTGTTGATATTCATGTATGTGCAGTCCTGCTCTGTAAAGGGATTGCTAAGAACTTCCATAGTATATATGCTTCTTGCAGGGTAGGGTGAAAACTGATTTTTGTTTTATGAGGCAATGTGGCTTTTACCCATTTTTTTTTTTTAGCATTACCATGTTAACACTACCATTAACATTACTAATTTTTACGTGTAATTTTGACATTGCTATGTTAATGGCTGACTTATTTTTTTGTTATTGCTCAGCCTGCAGTCTGTTTTTAAAGTGAAGTGTGTGTCTGTTTTCAAAGGAAAACCTGGGTGGCTAGATGAAAATATCCCACTAATTTGCGTTAAGTTTCTAAAGTATGGCCATGGAAAAAAATCAGTTTAATCAATACAGGAAGGTATTTGTGCTCATGTCATCCTTTTCTTGACAGTTTTCTCCCATTTCCAATTTGTGTAATTATTTTCTAACCTCTGAGGGTAGTATTGTCATCATTTCATTCTTCCAGAGATCTTTCCCGTGTGATTATGGAGGAGGAGACGGTAGTCAGATGTGCAGCTTTGAACAGACATTCCTCCTGATGGGTTTGGTGTGATGAAAGACAAATGGGGAGAACGTCAAACCCAGCAAGGAAGGCAGGGCAGCCTGGCAAGACTCTTCTAGTTTTTGGAGAGCTTCAGGAAATAGGGTGGAAAAATTGTGCAATACCATTAGAGCAAACCTGGCTCCGTAAATCAACCTAAGGAGACAGGCATTTGTGGATATTTTTTTTTTTCTCCTATAAAGTAAGTTAAATGTTTTTGCCATAACTGCAGAGAAGCAATAAAAGGCTAGTGAAGGCAAAGGTTATAAAGAAATCTGCCGACAGAGGGTCCATAGATGCTGACAAGAAACAAATAAAGTGAATAAGGCCGGTGCTCTGTTCTGATAAATTTCATTGATTTCTGCGCCGTGTCATTATGGTTGCAGCCTGCCCTGTTATCTTGTAGCTCCAGACCTTTCATTACAGCTTCAGATGATAACAGCTGTTGATACGCTGCAGGAGGTTGCAGTGACTGCCATGGGGGTAAAGTACCGTTTGCTAAGAAATAATTAGGAAAAACTCCATGGCTGGGTAGCTTTGATCTGCTTGTGTTGTTGTCCTTGCAGAGGACATTATATGCCAATACTGCATCTGTTTCCTGGATGAGATCATGAAGCCTTTACGAGAGCACACGTGCTCTACAAAGCAGTATAACCAGTGTGAGTGGTGTGCTGCTGGGCTCTGCCTGGTCACAGACCACTGTGTCAAGACCGTCCAATGTCTACCTCCTTCACCTAAACATGGGTATTTGCCACTGTGGCTACTTTACTCCCTAATGCAGCACGAGGAAAAGGACTTGGGTCTTAGTCTGGAGAAGAGAAGACTGAGAGGGGGATCTGATCAATGCCTATAAATACCTAAAGGGAGGGTGTCAAGAGGACAGGGCTGGTCGTTTTACAGTGGTGCCCAGTGACAGCACATGAGGAAATGGGCACAGACTTGAACATAAGAAGTTCCACCTAAACATGAGGAGGAACTTCTTTGCTTTGAGAGTGGCAGAGCACTGGAACAGGCTGCCCAGAGAGGTGTATCCATCTCTGGAGACATTCAAACCCCGCCTGGACAAGTTCCTGTGCAACCTGCTCTAGGTGAACCTGCTCTGGCAGGGGGGGTTGGACTAGATGATCTCCAGAGGTCCCTTCCAACCCCATGAGATTCTGTGATTAACAAAAATAGAAGATGAAATCAGTCCCCAAATCCTGTGTGATTCCCTATCAGGATGAGGTGAGATACAAGGTACCCCTGAATGCATTTTAAGCAAATAACCCCCTCCCTTTGGTCCAGGTAAGCACAAATCCAACCATTAGTTTCTGGTTTGTTTCTGATCTGGTGCTGGGAGGAGGAAGGGGGCCTGAAGCACAGTCTTAAGGAACTTTTAGCCAAAGAGAGAGGACCAGCTGTGGCTGTGTGGTATAACCTGATCCTGACATATGCTGTGTGGATGCTGGGAAACTGCCAAAGCACCTGCAGGCTGCTGCTGGGCAGGAGCATTAGACAGTACTTGGTTCCCTCTTCCTTACTAAGGGTCAGTAAAAGACTGAGTATGTGCATGTGAAAGAAAACTGGGATAAGAGGACAAAATAGCACAAACCAGGTCATGTTTATAATACTGTCTACAATACTAGAAATAACTGGGGTGTTTGTTATCTTGAAGAAACCCAAGCTCCAGCTACGCTGAGATGAATGAATTTGAGAGGAACTTCTCTTTATTCAATAAATACCCTGTATGGAGTTACTCATTGTGAGAGTTCCATTCCATTCAGCCTCCCCCATCATACCAGTTCAGGGTGCTGCAGTGCTCCTGCAGTGCTAAAAATGTTTTCAGAGGACCACAGTTCCACTGGAGCATTTCTGCTCTTTGCTTTTATATGCAAATTTGTATTAGTGGGAAGAAAAGGTTATTTAGTTACTACTGGAGTAGCCCAGAATCTATCATCTACTTCTGCCTTTGACCTAGCGTATTGCTTGCTGCAGTCCTGTCTGCCTCACCATCCTGAACCTTTTACTCTTCTGCAGCTTCTGAATACAAATAAAAAAGCCAAGGACAAGTTCAGGGAGTCGCAGGGATGTGGTTCCAATGACTTACTGCACACGTATACCTCAAGGACAGACTTGGACATGAGGCTGCTGTCAGTGAGGAGAGAAGGTAGAGTACAGGTGAAGTGCCATGGCAGAAGAGATGAGGTGGCTCTCTGGGGACCTGCCTCCTTCCCTGCCCACTGCTGCTTCTTGCTCTTCTTAGAGATGCTGAGGTTGCCTTGGAATAGGCTTACTCGGTTTTCCTTGACAAAAAATACTGAGTACTTCTAACTGGAGGTGATGAAAGTGTGGATTATTGAGCATTAGGATAGCGGGAGGGGACAGGAGAACCTACTGGTACCTACACCTGAATCTTGGTTACACCAGTGACTCTGCTGACGCTATTTCAGTTGGAAAGAAGGATAAGGGAATGGAGGCTCGAGCAGTGCAATTCCTAACCTTCCTTGTGAGGGCATCTAAAGTCCAGAAGTCAGATCCGTGGTTGATCTGAACTGTTTGTCTTCACGGGATTTACACAGAGAATAAATCTTGGCCAGTGTATGTGTTCTGTAATACTTCTTTTCTTTATGACTCTGGAAGACAGTTACATTTTAGAAGTTTTCATGGTCTCATTGACATTTTGCAGGGCTCCTTCCTTGCAGCACCGTGGAATGCTGTGTTGCTTTTGGGAATTTGCCACACCACGTTGTCTAGCCCCAGGCTAAGGGATTTTATTTATTTTTATTTCGCATTGTTTCAGCTGTTTTCACTTTTACTTTATTTCCATCCTCCAGCAGAATTTCTTCATGAATGTGGCAGCACATTGGGTTTCTTGGTTTATGAGTTGTAGTTAGTTAATAGCCTGCTGGATTTGTTTGCCCTTATCTGAGAAAATTTAATACTGTAGCAGCAACAGAATGAAAGGTGACACTTTGGGAGGTGAGCTCTTATCAAAGTGAGGGGAGAGATGGGAAAGTTGGTCTCCCAGAACGCTGCTGATCTGAGGTTTTTCTGTCTGTCTTGTTCTTATTCAGCTGAAGTCCCTGGATGAGACACTGTCGCTCTTGTAAATGCAAAAGGAAATCTTTGCTAGTGTATAGAGCAATATAATTTGCAATGTAACATGTGTGGTTAAATTATGTTCATGTGTATATGTTGAGATCTGCCCTCTACAAACTGTGATTGTTTTCTTAACTATGATTTTAGAAAGATAATATTTTTTGCAGTGGTTGCTTTTCTCAGCAACCATGCTTGTATGCTTTCTGCTCTTCATTCTATAGGTCTTCTGTTACTAAGACTGCATTAAATGACATTCTTCATCTCTTATTTTTACATTTTTTTGTCTTTAAGCCAGTTAAATGATCAATTAAGCTGTCATTGTGAATGAAATCTGAATACATTTGTGTATCTGTAGCAAGAGAAATGTTAGCTGTCCTGTCTAAGGGCTATAACTTAGCGTTCAGTCTTTTGTTATCTTCTTGGTTTCAATGAACAGATAAGTACTGTTGCCTTTCATAATAGAGGGACTGTTCGCAGAGGGGCTACTGAAGGCTTTACTGTAATAATAAGGTGAAACTGATATGAAGAGACTCATCTTGTACAATAAAACATAGCTCCGTTTACTGATCTAGAAAAGGAGGAAATGTCTGAAGACCCGCTTCTCATTTCTTTTGTAGGATTACCTCGACTGTATCACTGACCAGACCAAGCTCTCCCTGGGGACAGAAGAGCGATCAGCCCTGTTTGGAAACATACGGGAGATCTACCGTTTCAACAGGTAAATTCATATTTAACTAAATGAAAACAGTTTGATAGCCTGCTTTAATGGGGAGGGAGCAAGCCAGCCAAATACTCTTTTATCACTTTAATGCAGCCAAGATATATAAATTGAGAAATGCTCTATCTTTGATTCTCGGCAGGGTTGGTTTGCTGAGATCAGATTTTTTTTAGCCGTTTATTTTATAATTGAAATGTGGTCTCCATTTACTTTTTTTGTTTTCATGCTGAGTTTTTCCATGAATGTAGGCCTAACCTGCTCTATGCCTTAACTGAGCTGAATGCAAGATCACTGTGAATAAAATCCTTGCCTTACGAAAGGAACATCATTTTAATCCTACTATATTGGGTCCTTTTGTGTACCGATATACATCACCCAGACCTGGCTTTTGCAGTGTTTTGTACTACTAGGGGCTTCCTGAATTAATTTCTCTGTGTTCAAGTACCTTTCCATTTATTGAAGGGTTCTGTTCAGTATCATTACAGCCTTCTCTAAAATTCCTCAGATGGGATTCTAATGTGTATTGGAAGCCTGAAGTAAAATTTCCTGCTTGTACAGCTAGTGCTTCACTGTGTGGGACTGATACTTCTTTCTGAATCCTCTCTTACTATAAAAATAATTAACTTGTTCAGCGTTTGAGGAAAACCTGAATATTCAATTGATGCAAGAAATACATTGGCGTAAAGTTCCCCCGTCTTTTATATCCCATTACTCCTGTAGAAGCTCTCTTAGCTCTGCTGTAGTTGACAAAACATTTCCCAAACTACTGTGTTTTCTGAAGAAGAACAGATAATTTAATTGAATCAAAAGGGCGGTATTAGTGTCAAAGAGCATCTTCAATGTTTCTCCATCTTCATGGGAAGCTACTTTAAAGTGCTTCAGCTGCTGGGATTGCTGTTCAGTATTAAAGGGAAGGGTGGGGACGGATCTATTCAGAACTTACAGACAAAGATGAAACCTAAAATCTTTTCCTAAGAATTAAAACAGCTACTGCAGAGTAATGGAAATACACTTAACAAGAAAGCTGCTGTGTCCTGCTTCAGCTACAACTGGCTTGACTAAATGTCTAACACGATAGAAAATATATAGTGGTAGCCTGATCATGTGTTTTAGAGCCATGAGACAAAGATTTTAAGCTTAGAGCTTCCCAGCGGTCACAGGATGGAAAAATTATGGCCATTATATTTTTTGATCCTTCAAAAGCTACAGGAAAGCCAGACTTGCAAGCTAGAACACATTTATACCAGCATCATTGCAAATATTACCTAGAAAAACCACCTTCAGGTGTGATCAGTCATTATACAGACTAATTGACTTGCAAAAAAACCCCCAATATTTGCAGAGGTTAAAAAGAAAAAAACAAAAGAAGCAGTTCTGGACAATTTTAGAGGCAGATATGTTAAAATTCACTGGAAAGGTGTCCAAAGCCTCTAGTAAATTACTAATGTGTTTCAGGCCTTCTAATTTAAAATTCTACATGGAAATTGTGAGCTTTTAAGACTGAACTCTCATTGTGGATCCCGGTGTAGCTTCCAGGATTAAGTTCCCTCCTGTGTGAAATTTGGCATGTGGCTTCTGGGCCCTAAACATACTCTAGATCCTTTTTATTTATTTTTACCTTTGAAGAAGGTCATTTGGCAGTTAGTGGTTTCAGATGCTTTTTGTGAGCCTGATTTTATACTTTCAGAATTACCTTGTTTTTCTCAAACCATTTGATCGGGTTTTTTGGACTTTGTACAGTGCTGAGAAGTTTCCTTTCAGTAAATGGCAATTTCTCTCGGCTGAGCTACTTAGTGATTTTTAGGTGTTTTGTTGAATGGCTGAAATGATGGTCAGGATGGTAACTGCTAGTCCTGTGACCGTGATCTCTTTTTGGAAAGCTATTTCTTAAAGCAGAATCACTGGCTGTATACTGGTCCACTGTCTCTTGGGAAAAGCTCTCCCACTATTAATTTATTTATTTGGAAGGGGAAGTGTTCTTTAAGTCACCATTTGCTGCCTTTCTTCCCTGGCCTCTCCTGTTGAGATCCTCTCCAGTGTCAGTTTAGGATAAATTCTCCGCCTGTTGCCATGACTCGATTCTGAAATGGGAACTCTGCAGAGAAACGTGCTCTAGGTCAGTACTTCTGCCCACGCTCAGACAATCTTAGGAGAAGCCAAGCTGAAACCTCTGCTGCTGGTACAGATTGTTCTGCACGGTCCTCGTTGATCAGTGATTACTGAAGCACACAAGTACAGCTCAGGACCATTTTCTGTAGCTGCTGTGTTCAGCAGTTCCTGTGCTCTGAGGTTCACAGTGGTAAGGGCTGGCTTGCTGTCAGGAGGAGTCTTCATAAAACCTGTAAGAGCTCCCCTTTAGTGGAAGAGGGTTTTGAGTTTTTTTCTGAGTAGAAAGAAATTAGTCTTGGCCACAGGATTTTTGTGACAGTGAAGTTGTGTCAAGGATAAATTTCTCTTGATTGCCTATTTTCTTTTTACTGAAAGTCTGAACTTCTCAGACTAGTTTTCCAGAACTTTATATGGTGAAAATATTCTGCCAAGAAGACCAGATTGTGCCTGCTGTGTTCATTTTTTATCTGAATGCTGTGCTCTGTCAGGCACTAAGAGAATTAAGGTTTTCGGAGATTGCGTTACTTTAGCATTTATGGCTATACTGTGCAGAACTTGGTCATCAACTGTTGGATTTTTTGTCATGGGTTCAGGACAAATCACGATGTTTCCTTCCTGAGTGTTTCCATTCCTTCTATTCCATGCAAATTACCTGTCCAATGTCCTTGTCATTACCATCTCTCACTTGGTCCAATTTGGATCAAAATGGAGGAAAAAAAAATACTTGTGTCTTGCTTTAAAATGGTCTGGTGATGATATAAAATGAATAAAATAAAAAAAGCACCTCATCTGAGTTGTGTGTGCAAATATGGTGATTATAATCACTATAAATGTGTTTATCTCACAGAATGATATGGGGTTGGAAGGGACCTCTGGAGATCATCTAGTCCAACCCCCCTGCCAAAGCAGGTCCACCCAGAGCAGGTTGCACAGGAACGAGTCCAGGCGGGTTTTGAACGTCTTCAGAGACAGAGACTCCACCACCTCCCTGGGCAGCCTGTTCCAGGGCTCTGCCACCCTCAAAGCAAAGAAGTTCCTCCTCATGTTTAGGTGGAACTTCTTATGTTCAAGTCTGTGCCCATTTCCTTCCATTGGTGTCCTATCCCAGGGCACCAATGAAAAGAGACCGGCACCATTTTCTTGACACCCACCCTTTAAGTATTTATAAACATTGATCAGATACCCCCTCAGCCTTCTCTTCTCTAGACTAAAAAGACCCAAGTCCCTCAGCCTCTCCTTGTCAGGGAGATGCTCCAGGCCCCTAATCATCTTTGTAGCCCTCTGCTGTACCCTCTCCAGCAGTTCCCTGTCCTTCTTGAACTGGGGAGCCTAGAACTGGACACAGTGCTCCAGGTGGGGCCTCACCAGGGCAGAGCAGAGGGGCAGAATAACCTCTCTCAACCCGCTGGTCACAGTCTTCCTGATGCACCCCAGGATGCCATCGGCCTTCTTGGCCATGTTGCTGGCTGCAACATATATATATATAATCTTTAGGTGTTGCATTACTGTATCTTGTAGAAGAAATAATGTGGTATTAGAGGAGATGGTAGGAATGAAATGGCAAACAAGGTGCTACATACTCTAAGGCATCAGGAGAAGTTCTGCCTGCGGGAGGGTAGGAATCCTCTGAGCCTGTTCCTCGTGTTTGATGTTATTTCCAAAGCTCATGCATGGAACACACTCAGTCGTTACAACTAACGGTTATGGTCGCCGTTGCTACCACTTCCTGCCTTTTGCTGATGTAAAGGAGCTTCATGAGTGTGGGCTGTCAAGCAAGGGTCATATTTTTATTCCCATTTTGATGAAGAAGAAATTGAGGTGTGGAAGTTAAATTGTTGCTGTACAGAGTGGCTTAGCGACCGCTGAACCTAAGGTCTTTGTCTGTCTTTGTTCCTTACAACTGACTGCTGATTTCTCCCCTTCCTTCCTCCAGTAATTAGAGAAGTGAAGAGCAAGTCAGGAAACTTTTCTGGTTTACTCCTTTTCTTACTTAACAGAGGGAAATTGTGTCTGCTTAGAGGGGAAAAGGGTAGTTCCCTGGATACAGGCGTAGCAACTCTTATGCAAAACTCGTTCAGGGAACCAGCTGTGACCTGGGAGAAAAGTAGCCCTAAACGGAAAATCATCTGATGAGAAGGAAGGCGGGGGGTGGGGGGGGAATAGAGAGGGAGAGAAAAAAAAGAAAAAAAAAAGAAAAGTTCTATCAGAGAACAATTTGGCAGAAAACTGATTTTCTTCTCCCATTTTTCTGAGTGTATCTTTCACTAACACTAAAGCCTATTTGGATCAAGGAGAGACCTTTGAGGCTTTCTTCTTCTGCTTGAACTCTTTCTTTCACTGAATTGGCTTTCGAGAACTGGGTTTCATACAACAGTGAACATGCTCCCTTATTGCTTTGCTCCTGTTACAATGAATTCATTTCCTGCTTGGCATGTCAAAATTATAAAATCCTCTCAGTAAGGTTTTATTTTTATGCATGTAGAATTTATATATTCCCTTCCAGAACACTTTTTCCAGGCTAACCATTTTTCTTCAGTGAAGAGACCCACTAAAGGTAGACAAATTTTCCTGAGTGAGCTTATTACCATTCTTCTTGTATGTGTAATACATCCCTGGTTCTCATCCGTGTTTTTCAGACCAGCTCCTCATCTCCCTCAATCAAGTAGAGCTCCCTAGATCATATGAAGTCTTAGCACAGGGCATGTGCTTCAGTATCTTTTAAATTTTGTCAGTTTTAAATTGTGTTAGTTCATACACAAGCTCCACAACTGACTACACCACTACAATTGTTGTGGAAGAGCTGTCTATCTGAAGGAAGGGGCTCAGCTTTGCTTGGGGGATCAGCAATCCATGGCCATTGCAATGACTTGAATTTTTAAGTATGTGGGAATACCATTTCCTTAGAGTGCTCCTCCACCTCCAAACAAAAAAAACCCAAAACCCAGCAGCTATACATTTAGGGGGAAGAGGTGCATCAAAGGGGTTCTTGTTCACTTTTTAGGACTCCCCGTGTCACATCACTGCCATGAATGATGAGGCACTGTCTAGTTCTGAACATACAAGTGTGTCTATTTCAAAGTGTGCCATAATTGTCTTTCCTTTTCCTGTTCTTTGTTTTAGTGAACTTCTGCAAGATTTGGAAAACTGTGAAAATGATCCTGTGGCTATAGCAGACTGTTTTGTTTCCAAGGTAAGTGGCTACTACAGGAATCTGCAGCACACCACCAGCTGCTGCGGAGTGATATGGGGGAATAAGATTAATTTATTAGCTTTTGAGACCTAATTCTGACAGCTCGTATGACTTCAACCAAGAAAAGTTAGCAAATCTACGGAAAGAGAAGGAATTTCTCTTGGTAGGTGATAGGTGGTGATAGTAGGTGACAGTGCCTCTGCTTTTTGTTTTTAAAAATCAAGAAAAAAGTGGTTTTTTTTCTTAAGTAGGTGTATCTGAACTGGTTGAGTTATTGATCTAGAGTTCATTTTTAGATCTGTTTTTGTGGAGTATTACAGGGATTCTTTTTTCCTCTTTTTTTAATATAGGTGATCAAGTGGTACTCCAGCAATGCCTGGTCAGCTTAAAAAGATCTAGTCAATACAACTCGGTTGCATTTTTGGGAAGGGCAATAACCTTGTGTACTTGTGGCCTTATTGCTCTCTGAGATGCATTTTTTCCTGAATCTAGCAGCCATATCTTTAATTTTATTTTTAAAGGGCATGGCCCAAAGCCTTAAGATTTAAATCTAATTCTCTCTGAAATACTTGGAATTTTCTCAATGTTGATATGTCATCTTTATTATGTTTGGCAATTCTGAGGCCAAAAACTATGGAGAAGAGAAGTTGTTAGGTGCAGGAAAAATACAGGGAACCAAAGTAGATGTCCTTCACGGTAGGAAACCCAGAGAGCCAGTCAGGGGGAAGAGGAATGGCTATAATGGGTAGGACAAGAAGAGATGAAGTAATTTGTGCTACGGATGACTCTAGTTCACTGCAGAGTTCACCAGAGAATCCATGTATGCTCTGAATCTCTAGAACCCAAATGTGTGTGTTCAGAAATAATGGCATCTCCATTGTATTTCTGGGGGAAGAGGTGTGGAAGAAGGGGCATATAGTTTAAATTTCTACAACCTCTCTATAAGTGTTTGCCTTTTTCCATTAAAAAAAACCACAACAACAAAAAACACCAAACAAAAAAACCCCAACAGAAACAAAAAGCCAAACGCTATAATGTTTTATATTTTTTCCTGAACTCAGTATTGCCAGCACCAAGCATTCAACGTAATGGGTCTAACACAATGATTTAGGATTAACTGCACCACTCTCACATGGTGGTCCAGCAATTTGTTTGCTACTATTGTGACATAAGGGATTTTATCATAAAGGGGAGTGATGATACCAGCTTAGTGCTGCTCTTTCACCAGATCACTTGCTTGAATTGAGAAAGCTGTTATTTATCTAGTAATTGATCTTTTGTAAGCAGTGAGAGATCTTAGTGTTGGCAACACTGCTACAAAAGCAGGATGTAATTTTCCTCCGTTGCACTGGGGTTTGTGGCATGTTGTTATTGCTCCAAACAGTCTATACTGAATCGAAGGAGAGAGAATGGGATAAGGGCAAGCACGAAGTCCTGCTTCTGGAATGGAATAACCCCACGTGCACGCTGGGTCCAGCTGACTAGGAAACAACTTAGCAAAGTTCTGAGGTCCTGGTGGACAAGAAGTTGAGCAGAAGTCAGCAGAAGTGCCCATGCATTGAAGGCCAATTGTGGGGCCTTCAGGATATTTACAGATAGTACAGTTTGGAGCCTATAGATCTTTCTGCTCTGTTGCTTGCTTATAGCTGGGACCCCTGGGACTACTCCTGGCCGGGACATGAAACAGAGGTGGTGCAAGTGATAATAGCAAATCCAGGAAAAAGTTGTGTTGTCATTCATATTGGCCAGCTGAAAGTAGTTTTCTGGTAGGCTTTCTGGCCATTAGTTCCAAAATCCATCTGCGTATCATTGCCTGTGCTTTTTGTTCCCTTGTCAGGGATACAAATGCTTTCAGCATTTGTATTATTGGCTGGCAATTGCCTGATGGCTCAGAAATTGCTAGAGCCTGCAGTCCTAACAAGCCCTTTTTAGCTTCATCCAGACAAGCGCAAACACTTTAAAGCAAAATCAAACAATACCAAAATACCCCACAGTCCTGTTTTTTTGCCACAAAGATGTCATTACAGCAACTGCCGACTGTCTTAACAGACTCCAGTTGTCCATTCTTGGTTGCCTGTATCTTCTCAGCATTCAGTAGTGGAAATAAAACTGCCTTTTTTGGCAGTATGCAGTCCTTCAAATCTTACGGGACTTACATTTATTGTTTGCTTCGAGTGTGCTAGATCTTCACTGTGACTAAAGCACTGGGATAATATCCTACTGAGGTCATAGCTCACAGCTTTAGCTAATGGATGTAGCTCTGCTGGAGCTTCTTTAACGCTTCCAGTGGAACTGTTCTTGGGTTACATGAGTTCTGGCCCTAATGCCATTTTTTTCACCCTACTGGTTCAGCTGCGAATACCGTAGTTGTTGGGAATTTAAACATGCAATCAGGTTTTCACCCTGGGTACTGTGTTTACTTTTTGTATTTCATGAAGCTCAGTAGCTGCATAAAGTCACAGCCATTTCTTTCTTCAGGAAAGGACACAAAGTTGGTTTTTCATGTATGACAGAACAGCTATGGTTAAAGTGACTTTGGAGCTTGTTGGAAATAAGTTGTTTGATATTAGTGAAAACATCTAGGGAGCTTAATTTTTTCAGATCTAGTTTTGGACCGTATTTGATAGACTGTTTCTTTGGATTTGACTTTGTTGTTTGCTTTTGCTCAATAAAATTTGTGTTTGTTCAAACCAGGACAGCGTAGCATATTATATGTCCCTCACGCAGTCAGACATCACCGTGTCTCCTATGTATAACATTCATGCTTGAGTAGTAAACAGCCTTGCAACTTTTACTTTGAAGGGAAATAGACTAAGGATTATCAAATAACTTTAAAGAAAACCTTGTAATTGTGGATTTGAATCTTTATCTTAGCATTTGTTGTGTTGAGTGTCTAACGTAATTAACTCCTAAAATGGCAGTTTTAATTTTTAAGAGACTTCAGCAAGATGTCTTTAGTATAAACCAGCCAGTAACATAAAAGTCACTAACAGATAAAACAACCATGCAAAGCTATGACTTTATATAAATATTTAATAACAACTTACAACATTGTAGTAAATCCCTCTGCCTCCACACGTTTTAATTCATTCATAACTCACAGACAAATAGACACAAATGCAGAAAAGCACACTTTATAAAAACGTACTGTCCAGTCATTAATTGCTGCTTTTCCCCTTCTGCCCCAAGCTGCAGATGGCACGGATGGGTAATTTTTTCAACAGTGTGGGATGGGTGCTGCACAGAAATAACCTGCCACTGAGGGTGGTGGTGGACTAGTTTAGTTTCTACCAGCTCTGGTCCTGCCTCTTCCTCTAGAAGAACTGTCCAGTACGTTAAGTGTCTTGGAGAAGTTTTGCTGGTAACCGTAATCGGAGGTTGATAAAAGGATTCCAGTGCAAGCTTAGCTATAGCTTAATTATTCACATGAAAGACTGTTTATAAGTTTTCTTGCCAACTCAGTCTTTCATTTTCATAGTAATGATGCCAACGTTAATTAGAAGATTGACTTCAGTATTCTACACGTTTGCATTTAAGTGAGTTGTTGTAAAGAAGAGCGTAGTTCTGGCACGTCACTTTTCTCACTCAGCACCCCAGAAATTCAGAACATATGTTTTCTGAAAGACGCTTAACCAAGGGGAAAGGGAGAATTACCCTAATCTAGCATCTCGTTAATGACGAGGAGATCCAGGCAATTGGCTTTGGCTTACACTCTGACTCAGCTCGTTTTCTCAGTCTCCATTTTCTTTTAAAGTGCCTTTTATGGCTGTAAAAAAGCGCAGTGCACCAAGAGTTGAGAGAAGATTGGGGATGCAGCCATGACGCTTGGCACTTCACTTCATGTGGAGGAGCCTCTCGCACAGTGAATTGATTCAGCGGCTGGGGACGAGCTAAGTATAGCTGGGATCTGCTCGCCCTTGGCTCTGCTCCTGGTGGTGACTTGTAGCCAACGAGGGTGAACTCTCGGCTTGGGTCTCAGTTTTTGCCCCCATTACCACAATAGCTTTGGGCCCCCGGATTAAAAATGATCTCTGGAGCGATTCCAGTCTCCCTGCAGAGATTGTTTTTCATCTTCATGGTTTGAAGGCGCTGGAGATTGAAAAAAAGAAAAGCAACTTTCAAGCTAAATTTAAGAATGTCCAAAGAAATACTGATGAGTGTAGATGGTGCTTCGCTTACAGTGTGAAAGTATTGATAGAAATGTATTAAATCCATCTTAGTCCTGGTTTTTCTGTTCCTTCTGAACACAGTTCATGGCACTGGCTTTAGCCTGCAGGGCTTGTGCCCTGGTAGGCTCCCAGTAACACAGTGCTCACTCTTGGGAGCCTGCTGTGAAGCAGAGATGACCAGCTGGGTGCATGAACTAGAAGTCCCTTCTCTGACCTTGCAGAGGTGGTGGGTGACCAGGCAGCAGTGGGGGAACCGCCATCCTGGGTGGTGCAGCCTCCTCAGGCTGGGGAAGAGCCTCTTTTGGAAGTGGCTCTCTAAGCATCTCTCCCAGTGCCTTCAGGTGAATCCCTCTGATGCCTAGGCAAGGAGTATGGAGTTGATTCACTCCAGCTTACGAAATTTGAATCAACAATCTCATTCTGGAGGCAGTTGACATGTGGTTGACTTTCCACTGGCGTTATGCTCCCATAGCTTGGTAAAAGCAAATGCTCTCAGTAAAAGTAAATGCTCTCTGATGGCTTCGTGTGATGAAACGAGCTGTGGTGCAATGAAGCAAGCACACATGGAAGTGCAGCATGAAATTTGGCATCACGTCTGTTCAGAAAGCAGGGATGATTGTGAAACCGTTCGAAGTTTTTAGAGGTTTTTTTTTTTCTTTTAATACAAGTCTGTTCCATTTAATAGCTACACTGAAATTCTTTTAAAACCAAAAATCCTATTGAAAGTAGTTTTGACCTTGTGTAAAAACCAAACCAAACTAAAAAAACAAAACCAAGAGGGAGAGTGTGAAAAGGCTCCTGGGGGTTTCAGACTTGTTTTTGATTTTGTGGGGAATGTGCACTCAGTTCACTCTGAAACCCTGAAGTCTTTGGCCTTGTTTGTTTTACAAAAAATACTTGCATTTGTTAAAATTTCACAACAGATATTCTTTTCCTTTTTCTTTGAAAAGCAGAACAATTGACGTGATTATACTTACGAGCAGAAAAAATATATATGAAAAATAAATTGGCACAAAATATTCTGCACTTGGCCTATGAAGTAGTGCTATAAATTGCATTATTTTGTGGTTGTAGCCATGGAAATATATTACAATGTATACGAAAAGTCTCATCATACTGAATTTCTTCCTAATGCTCTCACTTAAGCACCCAGACTAATTACAAGTGCTAGCTGGTTTGGTAGTGAGTGACTGCCTTAGAAAAGGACACAGTGTTATGTCTGTAGCGCTCTGAGATTTGTTAATTCTTCATTTTGAGCAGAGAAGGTTTGGAGAGGTGGCTGGGGTCCCATGTGAGGACATGGACAGGCTGTGGCACAAGCTCTCTCTCTGTGGGTATGGACACAGGGGCTATGGACGCCACCATAAAAAACAGCTGCAACAGCAAAATTAGTCCAAGCGTGAAAAAACAAGATGATTCATTTAACTGCATTTTTATCGAGACTACATTTAGCTGTTGTGCTGCAGAATGCCAGAGTCCGTTCGGAAGGTACCTTGAGTGGAAACTGGAGTCTTGTTTACTACCAGAGGCTTGCTTTTTATCGATCGAGGGCTCAGGAAAGAAAAAGTAATTTATTTTAGGAGTACTTTGCAGTTCTGCAGTCTTTAGGACTCCAGAAAGCTGCATAAATGGCATATTATTTGGGATAGAAGTTGCTGGGCAGATATGGATTTAAAGCACACAGGAACCTGTTCTTGCATTGAATTAAATAATGATGATTCAGAAAAAATCTTAGGCCAAGGAGGAAAGAAATGAAACTCAGGCTTTTGCTCTGAGAAGCTTGTCAGCATTAAGTGTGGGTAATTTCACTGTGACAGGCAAGTGTAGAAACCCAGCTAAATCTAGTTCCAACTTGTTTAGGTAATAACTGCCTGCTTTCACGGAGTCATCATTTACTTTTTACAAAATGAAAAATAAAAAAAAATCACTTTTGTGGCTTCAAATTTTCATGCTTAGACTGTGCTCAAGTGTGAAACTATTTATAGTTGATTGAAAATTGCACACCAAACAGAACCTGCAAAACTTACTTCTCCCAGCAAGCGTGTGTGTGCTTTAGCACATGCAAAACTAGGTATGTGCTCATCAGTTGTTTGAAGGGGGAATATCTGTTGGTGTTTTTTGTGGGTTTTTTTTGTGTGTGTTTTCTTGTTGTTGTTTTTTAAGATGCATAGATTGTCATAAAGGACCTTGGAGGCTCTGTTGCAAAGCTACTTGCTTTATCTCTGTGTAGGTTTTCTTATTTTTTTCCTTCAAGTAAAGGAAAAAATCTCCAAAAAAGGACAAAAATGAAATTCAGTTAGCAGATCTGTGGTAGTGTTCGGACTATCCCAGTGAATTCATTGATCAGGAACTGGAGGAGGCGTTGTCTTAATGTCATCATCTTTACCTTGCACATGTGCTAAATGTTAGTTTGACAAAATCTGAATATATGTAAACTTTTCCTCCCCATGCAGAGTGAAGATTTCCATATATATACACAGTACTGCACCAACTACCCAAGGTAGGAATACTGGGTTCTCTTTCTTTGTTTGTCCCTTTGTTTATAAAAAATTTTAGAAAATTATGCCCTCCCACACCCCCGAGTTGGAGTCAGGAGCAAGGAGTTTAGTTATTTCTTAACTCACAATAGTAGTAGTAAAAACCCCCACCAAACAACCAAACTCAACAAAAAATGAAGGATGCTCAACTGAAGTTTTATTTTGACCATTCTTGTTATTCATTGCTATTATCCTTCTTTAGAAAATGATTGCCTTATTCAGCAGTACTCCAAATATGTAATTCCCAGGAGGAGAGAATGGTTGCATGTCAAAGGAAAACATAACTGAATGTATAAGACAAATTAAAACCAAAAAAAAACCCAACCAGCAGTGATTGGGTTAGGAACCTGCTGCCCTCTTTTACAAGGAAAGAAACAAACAGTTCTTGACTTTACCTACAGAATTTTGGAGATGGTGTGTCTTAAAGCTATGTATTGATATTTCCAGGTCAGTGGCTGTGTTGACAGAGTGCATGAGGAACAAAACACTGGTCAAGTTCTTCAGAGAGCGGCAAGAAGCCCTTCAGCATTCTCTGCCCCTGGGCTCCTATCTCTTGAAACCTGTCCAGCGCATCCTCAAGTACCACCTGCTTTTGCACGTAAGCACCCATTAGTAATGTATTTTGTTTAGGGCTGCTGCACATCAATGTTCCTGCTTCTGGTATGAGCCTTGAAGTTTAGAAAGGCTCTGGGTTTCTTTATACCCTCTTTCTTTTGGTAGTGTTGGATTTCTACATATGGACACTCTATCTGTCTTCATCATTCCACAGAATATGCATCTATTTGGAGTGAGGAATTTATGGTAATTGTTTTAGATACATTAAAACAGTTGGTGCGTCCAAATAATTAGATTTTCTTAAAAACTGTCTGTAATTCTGAACTTGTTTGGAAAATTCTTGTCATGATTAAACACTTTTGTACACGAATTTATTATTCCAATGAAAAACAGCATTCTTCCACATGTCGCAATGCTGGGGGTGGTTGAAAGAAGGAATAAATACATATAAACATCCCGATTGGTAAGGTTTTTGTGGAGAGGAATCACTGAGGAAGTGGGAACTGTTTCCATATTCAGTGAATTGAGTTAAGCAAGTTTCGGAAATTCCTGCTTTATTGTTAACGTTTTGCACATATGTTTCCTATTAGAGAGTCATGTTCTAGCGAAGTGTAAAGACACTGATCCTTATTTAAAATGTCTGGTGCTTTTCTTCTCTCCAACTCTAAAGCAATGTGTGGTGTAGTTCCATCAGGGCTTTGTAAGTGTGCAGATATGTTCTGTGTTTTAAGCGAGCCATTAAATGCTGTCTGAAGAAGCCTCCTCCTCTCGGCGTGCCGCGTTCTCATTCTCTGTGCCTCTCTGCTCACATCGGCTGCTGAGAGTATTGTTGCTGCTCAACTGACCGTGAAGGCTTGGCTTTGTCAGTCATCTTCTGTTCCTCAAATTGATAACAACGTGCAATAGTTACAAAGGCAGGAACGTTGTGTTTGGGTGATTGCAAAGCAAAGACAAAATAGTACAGATGAAAACATGGCATTGCGGCTTGCTGGGAAAATGAATTTAGAAATAACAGGGCTTTTTTTTTTCCCCCCTCCTGCCTTAGGAAATAGAAAACCACCTTGACAAGGACACCGAGGGCTATGATGTGGTGCTGGATGCCATAGATACCATGCAGAGAGTGGCATGGCATATAAACGACATGAAGAGGAAACATGAACATGCCATCAGGCTCCAAGTGAGTTCCCAAAGAGATTCTTATGGGTGTTCCTGAGCTGTTTTTGTCAATATGTATACCATTAACATTTTTTAGTTTATCTTTACTTTTAATCTTTGTCAGTCATAATTTAGATTCTTGTTGAGTGTGCCTGGGGCTGTTTGATCTCAGAGACCACGGTCATAGCTGCTGCAGGAAAATCTCAGACATCTCTGCCCTACAAGCAGCATCCTGTAAAGCATTTCTTTTGCAGTAATATGGAACTTAAGATAACTTTTCTTTCTTCCTTTCCCTCAATTGTACAGCACTGCTGTGCAACCCTAGGGCATGGCTTTGTTCAGAAATCCTGTGGTTTCCTATTTCTCCCCTTTGTGCTGATTAGTTTTGTTTTGAGGCGTTCCTTGTGCTTCTTGTCTAAGTACTTCCCTCTTGGGCTTCTGAAGACTCATTATCAGTTGCTTTGCGAAAAGTATAAACCTAGAAATATGATAGTTAGAGAAAGAATGAAGAATTTTTGAGGAGAAAACAAAAGCTACACCCTGAGTAACTTCTGGCATCAGGAGCAAAATGTTTTGTTGATGTTTTTCAGAACAGTCGCTCTGTTTCAGGCTTCCTAGTGAATCACAATTTTACATTGCATTTTCATCAGCAGTATTCATATTGCTTTAAAAAAATTAGGGGGATTTTATAGTTTATAAAAAGGAGTAATAGGCTTATACCATTCCAGAAATCTACGTCATGTTATTCTTTGTCCCTTCTTTTCTTTCTAACATAAATCATATTTATTTGCCCTCATTTTTGTGGGGTTTTTTGTTGCTGTTTGTGTAGGAAGAATAGGGTTACATTTGATGATGTCTTGCCTGCAGCAGAGTAACCTTTGCCACATGTTGCTGGAAACGCATGCTAATGACTTACCAACAGTCTTCTATAAATCTGTGTAATGATAACCAGTACTATTTGGCAATAAAGAGGGTTAAATGCTTTTGGAAAAGTGTGGGTTTGTGGTGTGTTGGGTTTTGGGTTTTTTTGTTAATTTATTGAGCTCAGCTGGCAAATGTATGGGGTTGTGGAAAATTTGTATGTTCATACTCACCCTTTTAAAAAGTAAAATCTGTTTCTGCAGCCATAGGGATAGGCCTTCTGTGGGCTATCACACTGCCAATCGGTCTGTAACGCCGCAAGTACAGCAGTTCCTTTGCAAAGTCACCCTCAACGGTGGTGATCATCTCAACATGATCCCCGTGCTGTACCCTGGCTTATTTAAAAGTTCCTAGAGAGACAAAATGCATATTTTTTATTTTTTTATGTCTAAATTTCTTTTTATAACAGTCTTGTGTATAGTCCAAACTGTCCTATTTCTGAGTATTCTTCCTGTGAATGTTCTAGGCTGCATTTGTGCATCAAATGTACTGAGAGGTTTTCTAGCTGAATGCTGTATTAAATGTCCTAGAGAGACCAGCCTGGGATGAGGAAATCTGTCCCTGCTTTGTTAATGCTGCCAGGTTTAAAGTACGGTGGATGTTTTTAAAGATTTCCCTACCTTAAGGTTTAGTCTGCTCTTACAATTTGCTGTACCATTCTTAAGTGCTGCGTCATTGCCACTGACATAAAAAACAAGCAACTGAAGGAAGCAAGAATAGCCATAGCAAAGCAGCACAGACTGGTGAAGATGTTCTTAGATGTTTCTCCATTCTTTTTTTTTTTCTTAATAAATAAGGTGAGAAAGATCTATGGTATATATACAAATCATTAAAAATACAAATAAATCTTGGCATCTTCAAATGATGAGTTGACCAAATCACTTCTGGTCCTCTAATCTTCTGAGAAACATCTCTTCTGAACACCTCACAGAGGTGTCTTCTCTGAAGGCCTGCAGGACATAGAGATGGCATTATAATTCATCCAATGGGAGACCACAAGTTCAGGAGAATACATGGGGTGAGAGAGAAATGTTACGAGAGATTGATTAAGGACATAGAGGGGAGAGAGGAGCAGGCACAAGAAAGACTGATGTCTGAAGTGTTTGGAGTTGGACTAGATGATCTCTATGGTCCCTTCCAACTCTAAAAATTCAGTGAAATTCAGTGAATTAGAGACTGTTCTCCATCTCTACGAGCCCAGGGAGATGGGGTTGTGCTCTTTCAGGCTCTGCAGGCTGCCCTGGGGAGCTTAGGGCTTTTCATTGGGTCCATGTGGAGATAACTAGTACTCAGGAGGGCATGTTTTAGTCTGGGCTTAGCGATAGGTCTCCAAAGAGCTGGCTGCAACATTGCAGATGACCTGGCAACCTCAGTACCAGAGTATACGGTGACTTTACATTCTGGGATGCTGAACTTCATATCAGAGAGTGGGAATGGCCTCAGCAGTTTTTATTTGAGTCTTTATTTAAGTAAGATCTCTGACGTGACTGTGGTTGTTCTTCTTTGATCTGTTGCAGGAGATACAGAGTTTGCTCACTAACTGGAAAGGGCCAGACCTCACGAGTTACGGGGAGCTGGTGTTAGAAGGAACGTTTCGCATTCAGCGAGCCAAAAACGAGCGCACGTTGTTCCTCTTCGACAAGCTGCTGCTAATTACAAAAAAGAGAGATGAGATGTTTGTGTACAAAGCTCACATACTGGTATGCTGGAGACATGCGCTGACTCTGGGTCTCCCCGAAACTCCTCCCGTGACTCACATCGTGGCCTCTCTTTTTTTACAGTGTGGGAATCTCATGCTTGTTGAAGTAATACCAAAGGAACCACTTAGCTTTAGCGTCTTCCACTACAAAAATCCCAAGATGCAGCATACTGTCCAGGTATGACAGAAGCCCCCCTGCACGCTGGGTAACCCGGCTGGTGACCTCATGCTCTTCCTGAGCCTGCACGGTGCCATCATCCATTTTCTCATGGTGCTACAATTTATTGGTTTTTTTAACAGGCAAAGTCACAGCAAGACAAACGCCTTTGGATTCTTCACCTGAAGAGGTTAATTCTAGAAAATCATCCTGCTAAAATTCCTGCCAAGGTAAAAATTAAAAAAAACCTCAGCATCTCCTTGTTACGTGCGTTTAGCTTAGAGCAGTCTTGTTAGCTGCAAGATGCATGGCAATTTACAGAAAGTTTAGACTCCAGGAGATTAACATGTTGTTTCCTTACATCCTTAAATGTTCCTCAAAATTAGTGGGAAAGTTCCACGAAGAGCATCTACGGGGCTTGGTACAGGAGTAGAAGAATTTAACTGGGTTAGCAGCGTTGCTGTCCGTATCAGGCTTTGCCTGAGTAAGAGATACAATTTCAGAAAGCTTGGCTATAAAAAACATACTTTAGCTTGATACTGCCTGTCTGCACAGCACCGAGGTGCGCTAATTGCAGCAGGTGTAGACCTTACCAAGCTAATTTTAATCTGTCTTGGTTAGATATCACTGCAGGGAAGCCACTGGCAGCAGACACTGCACGTTACAAATACACACACCCATGGCGAGCCCTGCATCCTTAGCTGGGGCATCAGAGCCCTTCCTGGTGAGATAGTTAGCGAGATTTTATGACAGAGAAAATGAGGCCCTGATGTCATACTCATAGCTGTAATGTTCTGTAGAAGGGAAACCTGGTCCTTTTATTGATGAAATCCTGTTTTAGAGCTCCAGGTGGCATTTCCCAGTGTAACATATCACAGCTCTCAAAGAGTGTAAATCCTAGTTAACTCTTGCCATAGCACAGCAGCCACTGACTCATGTGGAAGCAGGATTTTTTTTCTGAAGTTTTTTTTTTCCCCACTGAGTTTTACTGCTGTTTGAGTGGCTTATTTTTTTTTCCAGTATTAAGTTCACTGGTCAGTTTCCTTGCCTTTTTTTTTTTCACTGAGTTTTATGCTGTAATGGATAAAAAATATTACCTGGGACTGAAGTACACAGTGCTGTACTGCCTTTTTCAACAGAAAGAGAATTATGGTAGAAAAAAGCCATAGCACTTGCTATTACTAATTCTCCTCTTATCTTTTTGCTGACAGAGTTTATCAGAGGTATGATGTTTATGCTAGTATCCATGCTTACAATGCAAATACTCACAGTTTATTAGGTTGTAAAAAGCAGTACTCCAGTATGATCTCAGCTTTGGTATCAAGATATTTTTCTTACTGCTTCTTGGATTTTTTTTATTTACCTATGGAAAAAAATGTGTAACCAAAGATATAATGCCACTTTCTGCTCACAGAAGTGATTTCACTTGAGAAAGGAAAAGTCTAACCACATAAATCTTTGAGGGTATCTGCACTTTTTTCTCTGTCAAACCGGTAGTTGCTGGTTATGAGACTTCTCCCTCCCAGATTTTGGAGGATTTAATAGTAGTCCTTATGTGACGCCTGGTGGAAAATTACTGAATTGCATCTGTAAAAGGACAAGCAGGTTATGTAGGCTATTTTATTTTAGTTTGTTTTCTTACATATTAGTTGATATGCTTAATAAAACATCCAGATTACTTTTCCTAGTAAAAAAGAAAGTGTGACAAATTTTAAGCAACCATGAGATGCTTTTTATCCTGGTTCAATCTTAAATCAAATGGTGATTTTTATGTTATAGCTGTTCCTCAAGAAAACCCTTAAAAGAAGCAAGGTTGGTAGTGTTTTCTGTGCAAACAACTTCAGAATTGAAAAACAGTTAGGGAGTTAAACCATTTGATTTTTAGGGAGGAAAAGTTCTGGGAATCACAAAAAAAACTTGTGATTCCCAGATAGTAGTGCCAGTTTTCTGCCAAATCCCAGTAATACAGAGAGGTGTATCGATGGCCCAAAATTCTGGGACTTGTAGAGAGATCTCTGGAGGTTTGTGTCCCCATGGAGGACACCTGGTGTGTGCAGCGTGCTCTCAGAGCAGCACAGCCCCTATCTTTGAAGCCAAAGTAGATCTTGCAGTCAGATGTGCCATCACTACATCCCTCCCAAATATCTCACCCCGATGGTGCTGTAGGTACATGCTCCTTCCCTGGTGCTGCCAGCCAGGAGGTGGGCACACAAGGAGAAGTTGCAGGGTGCAGTGAGCAACAGGCTTTTGTGTGAACCCCTGAAGATAAACTCTGGTAAGCTCCTGCTAGCAAAATTCTTCTTCATTATGTGTAACATGTCCAGCACACAGAGAAAGGCAGAGAATAATGCTGCTAACCATATTTATTCATTCAAAAATTAAACTTGCTTTTATTTACATATAAACTCACTACTATATGTAATATGCAATGTAATTTGTCCTTCTACTTATAGTTTTAACTTCTTCATTTGTTATTTTTTCTCTTTCAGGCCAAGCAGGCAATTTTAGAAATGGATGCTATACGTAAGTTGGTTTTTTTTCACTTCCTTTTTAAAAATGGATAAAATGATCTTCAAAAGTTTGGCTTTAACTGTTGGTTTCATCTGAGATGGAAGAAGGCCAGGCTTATGTTCCTGCAATTATGATCTTGCTGGAAAAAACAAAGTTGGGTGCAGATCCTGTGGAGCTCTGTAGGCATTGGGCTGACTGATCTGCAACCAACAAGTTATGTCGTGTGATGAGCAAGGAAGAGGCAGGTTAGACCTTCTGTAAACTCTGGCCACTCTCTTTTGCTTATTCCACGCTGACTAATCGTATGATCTTTCCAGTTCTGTAGCATAAGGCTGCCCAGGGAGGTGGTGGAGTCTCGTTCTCTAGAGACATTCAAAACCCACCTGGATGCCGTCCTGAGTGATGTGCTCTGGGCAACCCTGCTTTGGCAGGGGAGTTGGACTAGATGATCTCTAGAAGGTCCCTTCCAATGCTGACAATTCCGTGATTATGTGATCCAGCAGGCTGGTCCTTGTGTCTCAAGAGTTTTACCTGTGTGTGTCCTCCAGGAGCCAGGGCTGGAGAACGCATGTGACGCTAACGTCTGCGCTCTGAGGGCGGTCCCTGCTCCTGCATCTTCTCCCTGCTGCCTTTGCTGGTGCAGGCTGCGTTAGCTCTTCGTGTTGGCAGCCGTCCCTAGCAGTGTAGGGAAACGAGGACAATAGTCCTGGGATAAAAATGCTGAGGAAGCCTTTGGGTAAAGCAGGCTTGTTATTTACTTACGCAGTTGTGTTGGTCAGGAGGGCTCTGACTGAGAAACTGACGGACAATTAAATGCGATGATGGTGCATAAGTGTTGCTGGGTTGGTCACCAGAGCAAAGAACATCTAAAAAAGTGTTTCCATGGCTGGGTGGTTAAGAAGCTACCTTACGGCAGCACACCTCCTTGGCTGTGTTGCTTCAGGCTCTGATGAAGTGCCACTTCATCAGTCATAGAAGGATGGTGCGGCGGCGTGTGAAGTGACACCCTTGTCCCTCTCTGATTCCTTGTGCCTCTGCTTCTTCCACAGATCACCCAGGCTTCCACTATAGCCCCGAGGGAGAAACGAAATCACCGTACCAGCCTAAAGAAGGCAGTGCTCCCCACAGAGTGAGGAGGAAATCAGGTGAATAAACTACCACCAAGATACAAGAGGGAAATCAAACAGGGTTGTTTAGGGTTGGGTGAGGCTGGGCACGTGGGACTGGTCTTTAGCCTGTACTCCACGCAGATTTAACACAGCACAGTAACTTTCAGATATGAGTGGAGTATCTTATTAACCGTTTGCTGTTTGTATGGTTTATTTTTTAATCCACTGTTTGCATTTAATTTCATGGGTATACATTCCTAATGATGTATGCATAATGAACAGTAGGTACTTTCTAATGGATAAAAGAATACATATGCAGGAAAGCCAGTCACATTATTTAAATCTGACATTTCTCACCCCCACCCCTACCCCCAGCAAGTAATTACTGTCTCAGAAGTGATTTCATCCTGATTGTGGTAGGCTTGTTATTTCAAAACACGATTACTGCCTTTACTTAGTGTAATGTCTTCCTTGTGGACATGGTGCCATGTCTGCCTTATTTCAGTAGAGATTTGAAAAGTGGTTATGCTCCTTTTGGGGTGTTTTTTTTCCTCCTACCTCAAACATCCATCCATAATTACTGTCAGTTTCCTCTTGAAGCCACTACAAATGTCTATGTATTTGGGTGACTTCATAGGACTTAGAGACCTTTCCCATTTGGCGTGTAACGTTGTTGGTTGGGATGACGTAAACGAGGTTCATGAGAATGTTGATATAGTGATTTTTCATGCAGCAGCATTTGTGTCTGAAAAATATTCAAGTTTTAATTACTTTTCAGGCATCTTCCTTTGTTTGTGAGGGGAAGGATTGCAGCTAATCCACGGAGGTTTAACACAGCGCAGTAACTTTCAGATACGGGTGGAGTATCTTATTAACCATTTGCTATTTGTATGGTTTATTTTTTAATCCACTGTTTGCATTTAATTTCATAGATATACATTCCTAATGATATATGTATAAAGAACAGTTGGTACTTTCTAATGGATAAAAGAATACATATGCAGGAAAGCCAGTCACATTATTTAAATCTGACATTTCTCACCCCCACCCCTACCCCCAGCAAGTAATTACTGTCTCAGAAGTGATTTCATCCTGATTGTGGTAGGCTTGTTATTTCAAAACACGATTACTGCCTTTACTTAGTGTAATGTCTTCCTTGTGGACATGGTGCCATGTCTGCCTTATTTCAGTAGAGATTTGAAAAGTGGTTATGCTCCTTTTGGGGTGTTTTTTTTCCTCCTACCTCAAACATCCATCCATAATTACTGTCAGTTTCCTCTTGAAGCCACTACAAATGTCTATGTATTTGGGTGACTTCATAGGACTTAGAGACCTTTCCCATTTGGCGTGTAACGTTGTTGGTTGGGATGACGTAAACGAGGTTCATGAGAATGTTGATGTAGTGATTTTTCATGCAGCAGCATTTGTGTCTGAAAAATATTCAAGTTTTAATTACTTTTCAGGCATCTTCCTTTGTTTGTGAGGGGAAGGATTGCAGTGTTGTTGCTTTGCCTGTAAAATGAGTAGTACAAAATTCTGATCAAATGGCCCTCTGTGTAATGTTCAGCTGCTTGTACTTTTAAAGCCCTGCTAAGCTGTTGGTACCTCATGCATATTTCTAATAGGAAACCTCCAGCAACTTAGAGTGATAGCAGAGATGACCAAGTAGGAGTTGTAACATGGGATGAAAATTTACATGTGGCTTGTTGTATGGAGCGCAACTGCACGAAGAAACGTGTATGTTTTTTGACAGCAGGATAGCAGAGATGACCGAGTCTTTGGAAAGTAGGAGTTGTAACATGGGATGAAAATTTACATGTGGCTTGTTGTATGGAGCGCAACTGCACGAAGAAACATGTATGTTTTTTGACAGCAGCTGTAGGTTTGAGACTTCAGCAAATAAGTGTTTTGTGAGGAAATTTGGTGATTAAGAAATGAAAATCTGGCTTCCCTGCATGGGCTCAGAAGCTTAAACTTTGGTACCTGTGTTATAAAAAGTTGGCCAAAATGCCCATGACTCTCTCTGGGATGCTGGAGTCCTTAAACATGTTGTTGTCTTTTTCAGAACCCTCGTCTAGAGCCCATAAAGTTTTGAAGTCAAACGGTAAGCCGCTTCGTCTGCTGGTTTTTGACCCAGTGCTTCTGTACTATCTAGAACCAAGTAAACCCTAAACACCATCAGGGGAGGGGGAGGAGGAGGAGAAGTGTACAGAGAAAACAAAACGTCTGCATGGGCTCAGAAGCTTAAACTTTGGTACCTGTGTTATAAAAAGTTGGCCAAAATGCCCATGACTCTCTCTGGGATGCTGGAGTCCTTAAACATGTTGTTGTCTTTTTCAGAACCCTCGTCTAGAGCCCATAAAGTTTTGAAGTCAAACGGTAAGCCGCTTCGTCTGCTGGTTTTTGACCCAGTGCTTCTGTACTATCTAGAACAAGTAAAGATGGATCCTTTTCTCCTAGAACTTTCCCTAAACACCATCAGGGTAGGGGGAGGAGAAGTGTACAGAGAAAACAAAACGTTATTGTTTAAATCTAAATCTGTTTTTTCACATTTTGGTTCCGGTCCTGTAAACATCCTAGCAACTGACAACTGAACACAGAGAGTGGGTACAGTGTGAGTAGTTGCCCGTATCATGTCAGTGTTGCAAAATCAGGACCTCGAGTGCAGCTCATCCTGTCTCTGTTGTATCAGGGACCCCACAATCTGTTTGCTCAATTGCTGCTGCATTTAATCCACTTTTGGGAATTCATAACGTTATTGTTTAAATCTAAATCTGTTTTTTCACATTTTGGTTCCGGTCCTGTAAACATCCTAGCAACTGACAACTGAACACAGAGAGTGGGTACAGTGTGAGTAGTTGCCCGTATCATGTCAGTGTTGCAAAATCAGGACCTCGAGTGCAGCTCATCCTGTCTCTGTTGTATCAGGGACCCATAATCTCTTTGCTCAATTGCTGTTGCATTTAATCCACTTTTGGGAATTCATAACTGGGAGATCAGTGTAGCAGTAAAATGGATATAGACTGACACCAGTTCGATTACTTATTTATGATGAAGTATGTATTTCTGTTTTCAGATATAAGTCCAGATATGCAGAAGGTAAGCCATTTCTTCTATTTCTTAGCACATTCAGATGGCTCACGTCACAGTATTTACTGTCGAATCTGCATCTTCTTGGTTGTGTTAATTTTAATAATGGAAACAAAACTATAAATGTTGTTTAGCATCTCCAATATGATTATTGGAATGAAAGCAATAGAAATATTGCTAACTATTTCAGGAATATCTAATAAAGGAAAAAAGACTGATCCTTGTATTGGTTGTACCTCATAATACTATAGGGTACTTAAAAATACCACTATAGTAATGGAAGTTCTATGTATAAAGGTAGTGTTTATTCTTTGAAGCACATCCTTGCATTTATTAAATAAGACTGGAAAGTTTTAGCTTATTCTGATATATAAATCATATATTTGAGCCATGATATATAACCAAACAGAGCCCATACAGCTTCAGCAGATGGAAATGAGCATTTATGATTTTTACATTTTCTGTAAGAATTTGTAGTGAGGTTCCCAGTGCAGTGTGAAAGTCTCATGTTAAATTTCATGTCCTAGGCTTTTATTTGGGATGGAATTTCAAGCGTGTGTGTGTAGAACTTTTATGAACAGGGTACATTAGATATGACTTCACTGGGATGCCATAACTCTGAAGCCTATGATTGGGGTGGAGGTTTTTGCATATATTTTTTTCAGTTCTAAATATTCTATGGAAAAATAATGATTGTTTTACTTATTTCTTTATAAATCTCATTTCACTGCAGCTGACTGAACGTAACTTAAGCATTGCCTATAAAGCTGATGTAAAATAGTGTCTTACTAAAATGTAAAATCTCTGTAAACTTATAAACAAAGTTTTGTGGTGGTTTGTTTTGGGTTTTTTTTTTTAGCGGATCAGTATTGAGGGAGCCCTATTATCTCAAGCCACCAAACTAGTTAGCGGATCAGTATTGAAGGAGCCCTATTATCTCAAGCCACCAAACTAGGATCAAATGAAGCCCTGCTGAATTCTAGGAAAAAGGTTTCCTTGGAGCCCAGTGGGCTGGAGAGCCAATTTCAAGAGTCCATTGAGCAAGCCTACAGCAGCGATCAGGATGAAAATCTCCAGACTTCTGCTACGGAACAGATTGATGCTGATGATGAAGAAGAGTCTGAACAGGTAAGAAAAAGATGGGGGAAGAAATAAAATCCTTTTTTTCCAGGGGAGGATGGAAGAGGGATTGGGGGGGAAAAAATAAAATCCTTTTTTTTCCAGGGGAGGATGGAAGAGGGATTAAAATTATCTGTAAAAGTGCAAGGAGGCAGGAACATATCACAAGTGTTTGTAATTCCTTAATTTTTTTTTTTTTATTTAGACAACACACAACACTCTTGCGTACTAACAGAGAAGAAGTAAAACTAGCCCCTATACAGAAGATTAAATCCCCACTGCTTGAAAGGGATTTTATTTAGCCCTTTACAGTCCTCAGACCCAGTTTTGACAGAAAGCTATTGTTTTTACCTGTTGCCCACAAGTGACCTTTCCTTGCTTCTCCGGCTGATGTCATGATAGAAGCCTTTTTAGGCCACATGCAGAGGCAGGACCTTCAGGTGTCCCATGTATGGACTTGAATATTAAGATTCAGGCACTGCTACATGTGAAGTGGCATTTCTTGACCTGCGAGCTGCTGGCAGTAGATAGGAATGTGTGAACTTTAATATGAGATGTGAGTAGAATTTCTGAGGATGAGAATATTTCTCTCTTACTATCGCACAGTCACTCGACAGGTGGTAGTTTTCCCCACTCTGTGTGATGTTTCCACACACATGTCGTCCTGCTAAAAGACTAAAACTCCAGTTTTGAAATGTGACCGTATTAGAGAATGTAGATGTTCAGTTTGTTTGGTTTAGTTGATGCTGAGGTCATATCCTTGTGTGGTCCATTTATTTTATGATTTATCCAAAACCTATTATTGAATTCTTTTTGAAGCTTACTGCGCATTTCCTCTTTGAAATTACAGTATTTGCTTTGTAAATCTTTGATAAAACAGTATCTCATATCAGTGTAGTGCAGTGTCTTGTAATTCTCCCTCTTCCTGACATAAGTACAAAAGAATGAGTAAGTGCAAAAGAATACCACTATAAAATCTATAATAGCATATCCTTGTGTGGTCCATTTATTTTATGATTTATCCAAAACCTATTATTGAAATTCTTTTTGAAGCTTACTGCACATTTCCTCTTTGAAATTACAGTATTTGCTTTGTAAATCTTTGATAAAACAGTATCTCATATCAGTGTAGTGCAGTGTCTTGTAATTCTCCCTCTTCCTGACATAAGTACAAAAGAATGAGTAAGTGCAAAAGAATACCACTTTAAAAATGTATAATAGTAGCCTGACCTTCACTCTGAGTTAATTTGGACACTGCTCAACATATGACATTCTGGCCTTTTGTTTGTTTTATTATATTTTATTATTTTTTTTTTTTTTTTTTCTAGGAAGTTGGATAATAGCTTATTTTTTAGTTTAGACCTCTTTCTTGTTTTCAAGAGTATAAGTGATAGCAAGACTAACCACACACACACACACACTGATTTTAAAGTAAAAACAACTTTGAAATTTGAATTTTTGCGTTACCACCTTATTCTGTGATCATTTAGACCTCTTTCTTGTTTTCAAGACTATAAGTGATAGCAAGACTATCCCCTCCTGATTTTAAAGTAAAAACAACTTTGAAATTTGAATTTTTGCGTTACCACCTTATTCTGTGATAACTTTAACTGCGAGATTAAATCCTTTCCCTCATCCAGTTTCCATGTATTCTCTTACATCTATATTTTTATACACAGGTTCTGCTTTCAACCTCTTTTCACAAGCTGTATGGATTGATTTAATTTAATGGTTATTGTAAAGAAGGTTTTCTAGACTCTGAATCATTCTTGTGGCAGTGCTCTGACTACTGAGGAGCATTTTGTCCTCCTGGTGTGGATACCTGGTCTGTTCTAGCTGCTAGTAATTCGTCTGAACAAGGCTGTACAAAGACTGTAGGTTTTATTACTCCTCCTTTGCTCTTTTTGTTTAAATTACAGAGAGTGAAGCAAAACTCACTGCAGAAATCAAAAGGGGGAAGAAAAAGACTTAACAGTCAAGCTGCTGAAAATGTGGAAAAACGGAGAAGTGTTAATCTCAACAAGTGTGAAACGCAGGTATATGTTTTTTTTTTACTTCTATTTTCCTATGCATCATGGATATGACAAAGAAATTTGTGCTTTTCCTAGATAGTCAGATAAGTAATCTTCTGTTTATGTCATGTATTAATTGTTGTATCATTGAAATATTCATCTGTATGATGAAAAACTATTCTTTTTGGGGCCAGGGAAAAAAACAACCAACCAAAACAATCAGCATTAACTTAAGCCAAAAAGAATTATCTTTCCCTCTCTTTCCTAACCTGTGGCCAGGAACATCTGCAGTGTTCTTCATGTTAGCATTAGCAGGCATGTGGCCTTGCTGTAAATTAGATCTGCTAACTGAGCTGGATGGAAACTTGCTCCGAAAAGACAATTAAATTTTCGGTGGCATGTGCCAGAGAGCATAACATACCTTTCTGCTAGGGCTGGAGGCAAGGGGAAAGGGAGGAGAACAAAACTTTTGGCACAAGCCCAGAGTCAGATTAGCTTAATCCAATAGTGAAACTGCAGAGTTAGCATAAAAGGTTTAATCGAACCCCTGCCAAACAAATTTGCCTTTAATTACTCAGGTGTTTGCGTGAGCCCGTGTCTTGTATTTGAAGTACCGTGTTATTAAATGCCAGGAGTGAACTCTGAGCCGTGGTAAGGATTAGGAGGCAAAGTAGCCTGGCATTGCCACCTTGGCTCCCTGGCTCTCTAGCGAGGAGCCTGCTCACCCTGCCCATCTCCACCTGACTCCGTGCTGCAGGACACCCTGATGCTACAGCAGTTCTGTCACTGGAGGGAATCGCTGTGTTATTGCAGGGGACAGGCTAACGTTACCTCTGTATTTCCAATCTCCACAGAGCTCCAAGGACCCATCAGATGAAGAGTCAACCCAGTTGAATACCAATCTTCCATTTTCCTGCGCAGCCAGACAGCCACAGTTGCCTAGACAACTCAGCACACCCCAGAGCAACGCGCTGATCATGAATATCCTGGGGGGAGGTACCTCTCTCAGGAACATCTGGACTGACCATCAGATCAGGCAGGCATTGTTTCCCAGCAGGCGTCCACCTTATGAGAATGAAGATGACGAAGACGATTACCAGATGTTTATGCCATCGATGTCTACATCCAATGCTAGTTCAGCTGTCGGTGGAGAAAGGAGGGCTGCTTCTGGGCGTCCCTGCAGCTGGCACTTGGGGGTGGCGCATCAAGATGAGACTTCCAGCCCCACTCGTCACAAAATTGTTAGGCGGGCCAGTAGTGCTGGTGAGAGCAACACGTGTCCAGCCAGTGCCAGGTATAAAATCGGGGAGCGCAGCTATCGAAGGGAAGCGAAGAGAGCTGAGGTGAGCAGTATGAACGCATACCCCGAATCTTCAGAGGAGCTGACCATCGATGACATTGAACATGTTTATGATAACATAAGCTACGAAGACTTAAAGCTGATGGGTCTGACAAGAAGGGAGGAGACAGACCGTGGTCCCCAGAGATCTGCTAGAGACTCTCTCTACGAGGCTGAAAACAAAAGCAGTTTAGATTCACCCTCCAAAAAGAGGACAGCAAATCAAAACAGGGCCTCCATTCGTGCTAGTAGGGATGAGATACTACTCAGTAGAGAAGGACCTGCTTCAAGTTTGGATGAGCTCAGGATTGTTGAAGACAACATCTATGACACCATCGCGCTTCCAGAAACACCACTATTGAATTTTAAATGTGAGCCCTTAAAATACTCCAAAAGGCGGAGTTTCCTGAGCCTGGAAAAAGACTTTGCGTGCTGTGACGATCTACGGCAGTTTGTTTCTGAAGAGAGTCTCCAGTTCAGTGAAGATGAAAGTCCTTACCATCGTGTTCCTGTCGACAATGACTATTTGAGCTTGGTAGATAGCTCCTCCAACTCGGATTCACTCTCCCACAAGTCTGCAGCAGATAAACTCTCGGAGGAAGTAGATGAGATTTGGAATGACCTGGAGAACTATATCAAGAAGAACGAGGAAAAGACAAGAGACCGTGTCCTTGCAGCCTTTCCTGTTTGTAAAGATGATATGCAGGAAAGGTTGCATGCTGGCAGTACGCCTGAACTGAGTAAAGATGTAGAGTACTCGTTGTCCACTCTCTCTCTGCCAGAAACTCCAATTTTCCCTAAAACGGTGAAGCCCAGGGCTGCCACCTTCAGTGAGGCTAATCTCAGGCTCGAAGACCCTGCACCGTGCAAGGAGAACTCTTTTATGAGTCTGAACAGATCTTCCTTCTCCAGTGAGATGCCTTTTGTAGATAGCCCATACGAATCTGCCAATAGTGTTCTCTCCAATGCCCACACAGAGGGCATGGAAAATGACTTGGCTGCTGCGGATAAAACAAAGAACAGAGTTTTTATGATGGCAAGGCAGTACAGCCAAAAAATTAAGAAGGCTAACCAGCTTTTGAAAGTTAAAAGTCCAGAGCAGGAACAGCCAACTAGCAGACAACAGAAACTGAAGCACAAAGATCTTGCTGCCATTCTGGAGGAGAAGAAACAAGGTGGTCCTGCTATTGGTATGTCAAAAATGTTTCTATAGAGAAATACATTTCTTTAGTAACTTTCAATTGAATTTGTGTACTGAACTGGAAGATTATTAATTTCCCCCACCTTACTAATTGAGTATCAGTATTGCTTTTTCTGTGTTACCACTGAAATGAGCTTTCTGTTACTGCTTCTAACATGAATAATCCTTTATATCGCAATAAATTTGTGTTGTTACTTGATAAAACTGGTAATAAGTAGTGGGGTAGTGTCTGGAAAGATCAGTTCAGCTCAGGCTGGAAATAGATCTTATGCCTGAAGCACTGTTGGCCTCTTTGCAGAAATACAGTTATTTCCTTTACTAGTGTGATCTTCAGAGTTTGACTAAAAAAAAGGTGCATTTTTAGGTATGTTGACCTTCTAACAGGTCATGTAGGATTGCTCAGGTACCATTTACATCGCATTTATAAGCATAAGGAACGGGGTCAGATAAGAAAGAGCTGGTCTTCATGCTCTTTCTAATGAATGTGCCAAGTCGTGGATATGCAGCAGCTTTGGAACTATTTTTTATGTAGGTACCATCTATATCGCATTTATAAGCATAAGGAATGGAGTCAGATAAGAAAGAGCTGGTCTTCACGCTCTTTCTAATGAATGTGCCAAGTTGTGGATATGCAGCAGCTTTGGAACTATTTTTGTCCACAGTCACTTGAAACAAATTGGAGACATGGAGCCAGTGAACTCCATGCACTACAGTGCCATTCGTGCCTCCTTGTGTTATTTATAAATTAGTCTCTAAATATCTTATTTACCAGACCGTTTTCAGAATGTTCTTTTCCATTTTAACGTGAAACAAGCCATGTATTATTTGAAGTGTGTGATAACGTTGTGTCCTGCACAACTCTTCACTGTTGCAGGACATTTTATGCTGCTTTTTTTCAATGCAGTGTACTGAAATGCAGTGCAATGCACGGCTCTTCCAACCTCCATTGTTTCATGTTACTTTGTTGAGGATGAAGGTACTGACATGGTTGTAAATTTTTCTCTTGGCCAATACAAAGCTATGGCTGTAAATTTTTCTCTTGGCCAATACAAAGCTTTGGGGGATTTTTAATTTTTCACCTGACTCATTGGAATGGATTGCTTGCCTCTACTAAGTTAATTCTCTCTCCTTTCTAGGTGCCAGAATAGCTGAATATTCCCAGCTTTATGACCAAATCGTCTTTAGAGAAAGTACACCCAAGGTCCAAAAGGAAGGCTGGGCCACCCCTCAGGAGCCATCAGCTGGGAGGTTTTCCACACCCATGGCTGCATCTCCTCCCCGTTCCCAGGCTGCTGGTGAGGGCTCCAGAGCAGAGGACTGGCTTTTGCACTCTACCTACAGTAATGGCGAGCTGGCCGACTTCTCCCCGTGGCCTGAATCCCAAGACCCAAAGGCCAAGAGCTCCTACACTGAGGCTGGTACAAAAAGCAGTTCGAGGCAGTTGCCGTCAGCTGGCTCGGTGCCTTCCCTTCAGATCTCTAACCGCTTGCACGTCCCGGCGCAGAGGTGGAGCGCCATTATAAGCCAACCAAACAAAGAAAATTTACATCAAGATCACGTCTATAACTCCCTCGGGAGAAGAGTAAGCAACGTAAAACCACAGGCCTACAACAGGTCGCAGTCGTCTTCCTCAATTGTGGTCAACAGGTCTGGAGAAGCCATCGTGTATCCCAATGAAATGGACAAGAAGAAGCTCCATTCCAGTAGGAACCTCCGATTCAACAGCCATCAAATGCCAGGCGTTGCTTCAGGATGCACGGGGCCTGATGCCAGAAAGCAGATCCCTGAAAACTGTTCGGATATGATTCTGCAGGATTCTCAAAAGGTCCTGAGAGTGAACAGGGCCTCCCCTCTCACGGCACAGATGGCCACGCAGAACTATTTTTCTAATTTCAAAGATACCGAAGAAGGAGAAGGGGATGACGACGACTATGTTGAGATAAAGTCCGAAGATGAGGGGTCCGACTTGGAGGCCTCTCAGAACCAAACGAGGAACCCGGATCCCAAGCTGCGTAACGCCGAGGCCGCTCCTTCTGAAACGCTCTGTGGCAAAACTGTCTCTTGTGCTCCTGCAAAGTCCACCAGCAGCAAACACACCCTCACCCCCTACCTGACTGCATACAGCGATTCGGATAAACTGAACGACTACCTGTGGAGAGTACCCTCTCCCAATCAGCAGAATATCGTCCAGTCTCTAAGGGAAAAGTTCCAGTGTCTCAGTTCAAGTAGCTTTGCTTGATGCTTTCAGTAATGTCTAGCTGTACTGCCTTACCGTGACACAGCATATCCTAGGACAATCAGTACTGGCATCGTGTATTTCTGTAACGTTACACAGTCAGCCATTGTATCACAGTAGCATTGTAAATAGATGTGAAATGTATCTTCTTTTAAAAGGGTTTAGAATCCTGGAAGTGAAAAAGGCCACATGTGCACTGTGTCTGGGGCCTCACTCCGTAGTGCAGGTGGACTTTTCCCATCTCCTCTTCAACCTTTGCATCTCTTCCCTTGTTAGGCGTGATACCCTCTGATTCTTACCATCGAACCAGGTGTGATGCCATTTGATTCTTAAACCATTTTATCATGTGGAAACCTTAGTATTTGGACTTTCGAGTTGGTGACCGGTGTTCTGTGTCCAAAATACCCACATGATTACTCTGGTTACGTACGGGAGCATTTAGCTGAGCAGCTGCTCCTGTGACTGCAGATCTCTGAGCAGGGTTCTGGTAATTACACCAACACGTTACGTGTGCAGTTGCACATACTTTTTGCACATTACTTTTCGACAGACAGATTCAAAGTGTGTGGGACCAATGCATACGCTCCCTTACTTTAGAACAGGCTTCTTATGTTTTAAACAAATCCAGTCCTAGTGGTTGGCAGGGGTGCCAGGTGACAGCTCTGTGTCTGAAGCCTCTTCTGCTTTCTGTAACTGCACAGTAGGCAGAGGAGGGGCAGCGGCAGATTTTTATGTGAATCTGTGGATGTGACACTGTCCTTGCCTGGAGGAAGTTTTGGGCAATAGAAGGGGAGCTCCGCTGCTTTTGAAGATGGCTAGGCTGAGTTTGGTACCTCCAAGGATGATGGTGTTTGTGAGAGGCAGGCAAAATCCATCTTGTAGCTCAGAGCCCAGCAGTGGAAAGCCACTGGGTGTGAATTTGTCAGGTGGCTGTGTGTTATACGCAGTGGCCTGCCATGTACTCATTCGAGCCCCAAAGTCAGTAACCCCAAGAGAGGATGGGCTTGGGTGAAGTACCAGTCATGGGGCATGTTTGGCCCATAGGCTGTTTCAGCGATGAATTGCCTTCCCCAGGGAGTGTATCTCCTGTAGCAGGAAATGATCTTTCCTGGCAGAGGGAGGCAAAATGTGCATTTTCTCAACTAGCCAGGGCTGAGCTGAATCCAATTGACGTACAACGAAAGTAGCTTAAAAATGAGAAAACATTCCATTCTTTTGCAAATAATGTATAGAGTAAATGCTGCCATTTGCAACAAGAACAGGCTCTCTGATACGCTGCACATTTACTCCCCCTCGTCATCCTTCGTTGCACAGCTTTGGATTCTGTTACTTGAAAACGTCGTACCTAAACGTTTCTACACCGATCATCTTGTGTGACCGTTGTTCTTCTTTTGGTGCTTAAATTCTTCAGATTACGTGGATAAAGCCAGTACCGAGTTAAACATATCACTAATTAAAGGATTTTTAATTGAAACGCTATCTTTACTAATCACATATCACTCCCCTCAGTTGCAGAGCACTGTACTCCCAGCACAGCCCTCTATTTTACCACGTTGGTTCCTGCGAGGGGAACCTTGAAGAACCAACCTTGAAGTTATCAGCGTACAGCTAATTACTCCTAGACTAAGAGTTAAGGACTTGAATTCGTTAGAAGGGATTTAAATTATTTACCGCACGTTATCTTACCTGGGCTAGAAGTGGTTACTGGGGGGGCTGGTTGGTGGTGGGACCTACTGGCTCCTGCCACGGGGACACTGGTCCCAGCAGGACCCGCGTCTATCGAAGTGAAACCCGACGGAGAAATAATGTTGTTGTACATATTTAAGATGCCGTAGCGGAGCCCGTATTTATTTAATATAGCTTGTAAAGTATTGTAAATATTGAATAGAAAGGTAAATCTGTGCTTTACCCGCGCACGTCTAGATTTGTTTAAACGGC